AGCGGATGAGGCGCGCGCCGGAGATCCTGGTGCGGCTGCGCTCGCACACGGTGTGGGAGCGGACGTCCGTGCGGCTGTGCTTCACGGTGCAGGGCTTCCCCACGCCCGTCGTGCAGTGGTGAGCGGGCGAGGCCGGCGGCCGGGTGCGGGGCCCAGGGGAGCTCGCAACCGCCACGCGGCCATTCCACAGACGGCCGAGCTCCGACCGCGCGGGGAACCTGCTCACAAACGCACGGTCCCCATCGCCCGCGAGCCGGGCTCCTGTGTCCTCGTGACAAGGACTCGCCCGCTTCCCGGAGAGCTTTATTCAGCACGGCCCGCATTTGCCGGGCAAGTCTGCCTTTCACTCCTGCAGACGAAGCTCCAGGCCCTGGGGCCGCAGTGCGGTCAGCGGAGCTGTGTGACCCCAGAGTCCCACGTCCGAGGCCCTCGGGCCCTCTGTGTCAAGCACCGCCGCAGACACGCATGCCTTTGCTTTCCCGCGTGCTGGAGGTGATGCCACTGTCCCCTAGTTGGCCCCTGCCACGGGCGCCATAGTCTTTCTGCCGGTACCTGGGAGGGGTCTCGGCCCCAGGAAGGTGGGGAGGCGAGGCCGTGGCCCTCGTCCTGGGGGCACGAGGCCGGCTTGGTCCAGTCAGGCTCAGGGCAGAGCCACTGGGCCCGTCTCAGCTCCCTGGTGGTCTGGGGCTGGTCTGGTGCAGCTGATGCCGTCCGCTGACCTCCCTCCCTGAGTTCCTGGTGCAGGCGGGCAGACCCTCGGCGCTGTTACCAAGGGTTGCCGGGGACCGGGGACCGGTGCCCTCTCCCCACACAGACGGGAGAGTGTGGGCTCTGGACGTCCCCCCAGCCGCCCCCTCCGCCCACTGCCGTGACCCCTGGAGAGCAGAGCAGCCACCTGCAGGACAGTCAGGACGATGCAGTCAGCCTCCGCACTAACCCGAGTGTGTCCCCCACCAGGTACAAAGACGGGAGCCTGCTCTGCCAGGCCGCCGAGCCCGGCAAGTACATCATCGACGGCAAGTACGGGGTGCACACGCTGGAGATCAACAGGTGAGGCCGGGGCGCGGGCACCTGCCCTGCCGTCAGCCTTCCGAGCGGGCGGGTGGCCTTAGCAAGCGGAGTGACTTCGTGGCGGGGCCAGCCTGCCTTCGTCACCTTCCGGGGTCGGGCCAGAGGGGTGCAGGTCAGGGGGATGCAGGTTCTAGGGACCGAGAGATGAAAGGTTTTAGGGAGGACGGTGATGCCAGGCGGCCGCCCAGCAGCGAAACGCGTCACGTTGACCCCTGGCTCATGGCCGTCCCCAAGTCACACTCCTCAGGGACATGGGACCTTTTTCCTTTCACTCATAACAAATTTTAAAAATGTAGAAAATACAGATAAGAAAAGAAAACAGAAGTCGCCCACGTCGCCAGCACGCGCGTCTGGGTG